GCAACACACCTGATTGGTCAGAATCAGGCCAGCTGCAGGCAGTCCGGCATAAAGTAAGATCATTCATTCTAGTTTGTACCTTTTGGTGATACCTTTGGATCATCCTTTTGACCAAGCTGGGCCTTGCATGGTCAAAATACCTGTTTTCGGATTTTGGAGCGTGAACCTGGACTCTGTCTGGTCAGGTAACATCTAAGTCTAAAGCCTGTTTTTAGTATTTTTAGATTTTACTATTTTCTGCCTTTAATAAACCTGTCACGGCTCAGGTGGGGTGTCACCTGACGCTGCCACCACTTTGGATTTAGGTTCCCTTGAGAAGGCCCAGAGCACCCTCCCAAGACCTTCAGACCTCCATTTTGGCTAAATAACAGGTGTGAGGACCAGACAGAGTGAACAATGACAATCGTTTATTTTATAAGAGGTCAAACAAACAAGGTGCAGAATTATAACCGTAAGTGGATGAAAAGAAAAGAAATTAAATGCCCTAACACGTCTAAATATATACTGTCACTAGCTCACTGTTTCAAGTGGCCCTACAGTACTCACCCTTCCCTCAGGATGAGGGTCTCTTCCCTGCAGCAGCCTTCTTTCTGGCTCTGCCCTCTGGGAAGAAGAACAGCTTTTCCTGCTGCTCCAGATCTTTTATTTCAAGCCCTCCTCTTTTCCTATTGGTCAATTTTGGCTCCAAAACCTCTCAGGGGTTCTGGGAGTTGTAGGCCCAGCCTCACCTACTGCTAGCCAAGCTCCCTGGGCCTAGTAGGTCTCTGGTGGGACAGCCCAGATCATGACAAAACCTTATTAGTTATACTTCTGTGGTGTTATTCCGGTTTTGGGGCTTTAATCTAAATCCAGTAAAGTAAAGGTAAAGGTTCCCTTGCTCGAAAGCCAGTCGAATCCGACTCTAGGATTGCGGTGCTCATCTCCGTTTCAAAGCCGAAGAGCCAGCGCTGTCCGAAGACACAGTACCTTGGCCTAAATTGGCTACAAAGTAATTGGTTTAGGAACTCAACTTGCAAGTGCCCTACCTTGCAGGGCTGGCTCCTTAATTAATACCCAGTAGGGCTGGAGACTTTGTCTCCCAGTCTCTTAGTCAGTCGGAGTGGCTAGGGGCGGGCAGTAGGATTCATTTCCAAGCATTTTGTGTTTTGCTCTCACCCAACCTGTCGCTACCTTGACACTAACCCGTCTCTTTTGACTGTCGCCTGCGTTCTCTCTTAGCCTCGGTGTTCTCTCTCTGCTGCTGCTGATTTCTGTGGCATCCAAAAAGTAACTTGGAGCACCTGTTCCTGTCTCTGCATTGTGGACACAAGAGACCAAGCGTCCCTGGAGCAAGGCATACAGAATCAAATACATGGAGAGCAGCCAGGTTTGCCTATCGTCTGGCAGAGTTTCTGCCTGGGCAAGAGCCTGCCATCCAGTCTATCATGGAATCCACTGTACTTCCTTCCCCTCTAAACGAGACGGTCATTCCCCCCTCCTCCGACTGAATGTAAAAATAGGCAAACCCTTCTACCTGCCTTCACATAATTTGTCCACACAAAAGCACCAACCATTTTCCCAGAAGAGGGGCGGGGGAAGCATGTACCAGGCTGGATTGAAGTGCCCCGTCAGTTGTTTCTTTTTTAATGTGGCTTAAACAGACTCGCTAAGCTCCCTCCCTCTGAAAGAATAAAGCCGGCAGGGTCTCATTGTGCCTTACAGCCCGCACGCAGCGTTATGCTATTATTGCTCCAATGCATAACCATTTCCCTTTGGGATCGCAGTGGGAACACGGCAAGATGAATCACTTCTGTGAAAGTTAAACTGATTAGATTACGAAAACACTAAGTCACCTTGCACCCTTCTCCCCCCCCCCCGACAGTCTGCAAAAATGAGACTGAAAACCCACAAGTGGCTCCCTGCCTGTGTTTAAGGAAAAACTAATGTGCTGTTTCTCCTCTAAGCACATTGTGTTGCTCAGTTGAAAAGGGACACCCTGCAAAGAGCAGAATGGAGAGGCCGGATACCTATGCAGGATTGCAAAATACCATTTTCCTGTCCCTTAATAAGGCCAATGAGTACATGATTCCCGGTGTAGCCATAAGCTTTTAACAGTGCAATCCTAAGCAAAGTTACACCCTTCTTGGCCTACTGACTTCAACATACTCAGAAGGATGCAGCTCCGTTTAGGTCTGCACTCTTAGTCATCTAGCAAGAGAGATCTTCTTTACCTCACTACTACATTCAATTTTTGATACACAGGTTGTAATAATTACCATCTTCAACTGCCATCTACAACCTGGGGGAAAAAATGTTCCTGTTCTTTTTAACACCAAGGTGTGCTCCCACATTGCATGGTCATACAAATAGCACCACAGACCTGTACATAAGTCACAGTACAGGAGTACCTATCAGACATTTCAACCCAATTCTGTATATTTGGATTGGCATTCCAGTATATATTAAAAGGACAAAGGTATTGATACAGAGATACTCAGATTTACAAAACTAGAAGCAAACTCATGTGCTGTGGGCTTTAATGTGCAGACATGGGAATATGTCCTAAGCCAAGGGTGTCGAACTCATTTGTTATGAGGGCTGGATTTGACATAAATGAGACCTTGTTGGGCCGGGCCATGTGTGTCATAAAATGTAATGCCAGGTACCGGTGATATAAAATTTATAAAGGACACAAACACAAAGGGGTTTATTTACTTAAAATAAAAACATGCTTAAAACATTAGCACTCTTGCTCTGAATTATTGCATCAAAATGTTTGTGCTGTAGCAATCTTGAGTATGCTGTTCAGGTGTGTATCTGTAAGCTGCACACCTATAATGATGCAGCAGCCACAGAACTGGAAGAAGCAGCAGAAGACAGCCAGTTCTATTGCGGGCCTGATAGAAGCCCTCCGTGTCAAGCTTACCTAAGGAACAGGGTCAGATTAGTTCTGAATAAGGTAAATGTATGAACCTTCCCCTCATAACTGCAGAGGACAACCTGTTAGTTAACCCCTCCTTTAAACATAGTGCTAGCTGTGGAATAGATTGGCGCTGTTGGAAAGTACTTGTTCCATGACCAAAGAAAGAGGGATGAATAAGCAGGACCCAGACAGGAACTCCAGCAAAACATACAGAGATGGGCTCTTGGAAAAACTATTGACACAAATACTTTCCCCCTTGTGCTGGGGGACCTAATTGGCAAAGGCATACTTCTGGCAATCAGAACATTTATGAGAGATTGACAAGGACATACCAACTTGCAAAAGGGTCTGTCAGTGAGATAGGGTGTGTTCCTCACCTTCGAGACCTTCTGCCTGTTTCACTTCTCTTGATAACTTTGGTTGACCTGCTTTGTGGTCACAATGGAAGTGGGACACTGAAGCCCCTCTAGCTCCTATGGACCAGTCAGCTGTGCTCAGCAGGATCCTGGACTTCAGAGCAGATCAGCCAACGGCATTGCTAAAGCTGAAGTGAAAGGCCTGCAGGCAACTTTACTGCTATTAAACCATGCTAAGTACAAATTTGCTAAACATGGAATGTGGGCCAGAGGGTCTCGCTGCCTCAGAATTATACTGTCACAAGAATACTGTAGCAGACGCTCCGAAAACAAAAATCAGCACACCTGCTTGGTTCTTACCGATCTACCCAAGATGACATCTCAGCAGGGTTTGGGTTGTGCACCATATTCTATGTGGAATTTAGCACACGCATCCTTCCAAAACTATGGGAAGCAGCACTTTGGCCAGTGTCTTTGCTTAAGCAAAATAAGTGATATCTCTTCAAAGTGCTGCCAACAGCCAAATTATTAATATTGAGGGCCTTAAAGTCAAGAACTCCTGAGGAAGTGGGACCAGAAATTCTCAACTCAGCACTACACAAACGTGCTCTGTAGCAGAGACACTGGTCCCTCAACACTTGGAAAGTGGAGGAAATAACTTGACAGATATGAGGTTTCATTCATACATGTTCCAAAGACTAATGATTTACTATTACTATATAGCTCCCTTTTCCCCTCTCTAATTCATCCTATGGTTTGGCTCATGTTACAGTTTTAGGAAATGTGAATTAGTGAGAAGAACAAAGGTTTGGATACTACAAACAATTAATGGAACTGATCTTTCCCCTTCCCATGGTAGGTCCCCCCTGCAAATTTCTCCAGAATGTCAGGGGACTCTCAGAACCCAAGTGGGATACAGCACAGGGAGTTTCAGCAAGGAGGAACAGAATCACCCATTCGCCCCACCCCCCCCCGGTGCTAAAAGCACTCAAGCAAGAGGGGTGGAAAGCGATCTCTGCTGACTGCCCTTCAAGCTGCCTCCCCCATCCCCCGCACCCTCCCACGGTGTTCTCAGTGGCTCTCCAACTGTCAGGAACAGACTGGGAAAGGCAAAAAGAAGCCTCAGAGGGAGAGGGTGAGCTTTGTGAACTGCTTCTATTTATAGTTTGTAGGATCTAAGCCATAGTTCATAGATCAGCTGCAGGTAAGAGATTGTTTTTTAATATGGATATGGCATTAAAAATCATTGATAACCCCCTCCGCCAAGCCCCTACATAAGTAGTGCATGCATGCCGCAGGCCTTCAAAAGGCACCTTGAGGATATCCATCAAATGTGCAGTTTCAGAGCTTGTGAAGGCACACAGCCAAGGTTTGATGCTTACAAGGAAGTATGTAGTCCTATAGCTCCTCCATTTAAGGTAAGCCATTGCAATGCCCCCGAAGGGAAGTAAAAGAACCTAAATAAACATTCCCTATATGCTTTCAGTTTATATATTCTCACCCACCTTCACCCCATTCCACCCAGGAAGGGGCATCATGCCCTAATTCACCGCAGTAACCCAGTCCTGCAAGTTACCTATCCTACTGCTTCCGCACTGAAATTCACACATCTTTGCAGGTCCTTTTGTACTCTGATGACAGTACTGCAGCAGACGGTATTATTACTACCATTACAATTAAAAAGGGTACACAACCTCAAATTATCAGGCCCATGAACACTAGCTGAAAAGCGCATGACTCACTGCCTGCTGAATTCCACTCTTCACTTGTTCACTCAACATGCCTTCAAACACAAAGGAATCGCCAAATTTTTCAGCCTAGGAGGGGAGAGAAGAAGGACAGCACAAAGTCAGGTGGGCTTTCGGGTTTCCTTTGCAAATGTTTTCATTCCCAAATTATCTACAGAAAGCATCAAATTAGAGAATTAAATACACAATGGGATTCAGTTAATCCTTTCTAACAGCAATACAGAGTCTGTTAAAGGAAATACTAAGTCTGCTAGGGCACATGAAGCATGAAGGAGGCCCCTTTGCTTCAGAAGATCATCATTCCCAAATAAGTCACTGGGATGAAGTGCAGACTCTTGTCAGAAGCACAAAGAGCAGCAGAAAAAGAACCTCCTTAAATATCACCCACCGACATTCACTGGGAATATCAGATTGTCTTCAATTCCACTTTTCTCAGGATCGCATGGGATTTATGAGGTGCTGGTAAGCATTCTGGCAGAGCAGCAGTCTGGTTGTGGTGGTGGTGGAAAGTGCCATCAAATCACAGCTGACTTATGGTGACCCCGTAGGATTTTCCAGGCAAGAGACATTCAGAGGGGTTCACCACAGCCTGGTATTTCTTGGAGGTCTTCCATTCAAATATTAACCAGGGCCGAGCCTGCTTAGCTTCCAAGACCTGATGAGATCAGGCTACCCTGGGCTGTCCTACTCAGCATAAAATAGCTTCAGGTATTACAGTAACTAGTACATTGCATAATGCTCTGGGGCAATGAGCAAAAAGCAATGAGCAATAAGAATCCATGAAGACATTCTGTTCAGTCTGTCTGCCTGCTGAGATTTTAGCCAGGCACCATTGGAATATGCAGATCCAAGTGATTCAAGATCAGGGTACGTGAAGGACCATGCACTCCTGTAGGAACCTGTTCAGCAATCAAGATCCTCTACAGACACCTTTCTAAGCATGTCTCCATCTTCAGAGATAAGATAGGTGGGTTAAGAAAGACATGGTCTTTTCCATTGTGGCGCCTCCACTTTGGAACTCCCTACCTACAGCTATTTGCTGGTTACCAAGCTGGTTGGGTTTTAGGGGGGTCGGTCAAAATGTTACGTCTGCATTTTTTTTGTCATGTCAATGGATTCTTTCTCCTTTCTTCTTCTGAACCTATGCTGATCTTCTGGCCTTATTCATTTTATCACTCACTCATAATCACTCTTTTGTGGTCATTGTTTTGGAGCTATGACTGCTCTTCAGCTGTTGTGCTCAGTGATTTCAGTTTTTCAGTACTATATTGGGAGCCTGTTCCCTGAGAGAACAAGTTATCAATCCTTTGAAGAAAACATAAATACAACAGGGTTTGCAACAGCTAAAGTTGTAGAAATCATTCCAGTACATAGTAAAGATGCGCCTAACTATTGCATTGGATTATGGTCAAATATATAAATTCAGAATCCTTTTGACGACTTTAGAAGCCAAATACATAATGCCATATAAGCAAATACACAGCAACTATGTACTCACAGAAGTTGGACTTCTATATAAATTGAGGGGGGTCTCTTATTTGGTATTACACGTTTAACCCTTTTGGGCTCAATCCCTAGATCAGCAGCTAAAAGGATCAGGCGGCAGGTGATGTGGAAGACCTCTACATGAGATCCTGGAAAGCCACTACCAGCCACAGTAGACAATACTAACCTTGGCAGATGCAAAGAACAGGAAGGTTCACATAAGACTGACCCATCTAAGTGTCTATCTGTTACTCACCTTAGGCCCAAACTGCATGCTATGAGCAAATATGCATAGTGATATAATGGCCGGGTGTGTGTGTGTTAAACTAGAAAATATGCTTCCAGTGGGCACAATCCAGAATACAGACAGGGTGCAGAAAGTGGGGTGCTTAACCCTTTCCTCACCCAACCATCTTCTTGCTCTAAATTGCCTGTGCCGGCAGCTATCCCTTGGAAGTCCAGCTTTTCCCTTGGTTGATACATTCATTTTGCACTGTGATGCTCTAAACACATTACACATTCTCTCTCAGGTATCCAGAGATTTATGGACTCCAGTTTACCCTTTTCCAATAAGAGAAGAAGAACAAGAGAGCTGGTTGAGATCTAGTATTTAATTCTTAAGCCAGTACTTCTGCACACAATGGAAAGTTATACCAGGCAAGAAACAATAGTAAAGATTTCATCTCATAGATTGCTAGAAAATAACTGCCTTGAAAGAGCCTGCAGTTTCTCCAGCTGTCTGGAACTGTCTGCTTTACAACCCCCTCACAAACACAGAAGACATATGTTAGAAAGCATTCAGAATTCTCACTTAAGATTTGAGTTTTTGTTGGGGAGAGGGGCTCTCTACTAAGACAGTTCTGTATTCACTGTATTTTACTGATTCAGTTTACCACAGAATCTATGCTAACAATTGCTTTAGGAATTTTGAACTTTGTCTATACTGGAACACATATACCATTACTAGATCTTAAACTAGTTTATTTGCTCCTAAACTTGAGCTCATTTTTCACTCACTCCAGCTGTGGCTGCTGGGCTGAAGGGATTCGCCTTGCACTCTTCTTGAAATGCACAAGCACCAATCCAAGACCTAGTGTATTTCCACTGTATTAGATGGAATTACAGAGGCATTATATTTGACACATAAACCTCAACATTCAGATGATGGTGTCCACCCTATTAAGACTACTGGCAAGAAGTCATACATTCAAGAAAACAAAAGCACAGACCCAGGCATCTGTCAGGTCCTGGATTCAGCATCCCAAGGACCTCAGTTCTTTTACAGCTACAGAGTACATGTCAGCAGTGCCTCTTGATATCTCAGAAACTGGCAGACGTCTGAATGGAAATGCTGAATGGATCCATACAGCACCTCAGGACCAACCAAAGCAGAACAGTATGCACATTTACAGCTCAGGTTCAAATTGTAGGTCTTGGTGTTGAACTCGAACATTCTAGAACTGGTTACCTAAAATTCAGAGCAAGCATCATTGGAAACCAGTGGCTGATTTTGTAGGGCCCTTTTCATCTTTTCAAATAACTTACAGGGGTCAGAAAGAGATTGGATCTTTCCATCTTTATCCTGCAAGCTTATGCATTTTCCCTCTCTTCTGGGAACAAGCTTCAGTTTCTGCTTGACCAAAGTACAGCCATTGTGAAAGAAATTAACACTCCTTACCTCTGTGAGATAGCCAGTAGCATTCACAAACTTCTCAAACTCAGCATTACTGACTTCATAGAGATCCATGTAGAAACTGTCAACATGAACTCTTCTGGCAGGCGATTCTCCATCTTGTTGTATTGCTGGCTCATCAGTTCCCATTGTAAATACTCCAGCTGGAATCAAGACCATCTGCAACTTGAAGGAAACAATTACACACATTGCTGGATGAAACTGTCTTTTCACCTTGTGAATACATGCCTTTTTTCTTTGGAGGTTTGAAATAAGCAAAACCTCTACTCTGAATTTTAAGTTTTTTCTCTCTCTCTGGGCAGAGAACAAGCAGGAAGTCAGTTCAGTTGCTTTCCAGATGTACCTCTGTCCACCATCATACAAATGCTAATAGATCTAGCAGGAGAGATAATGGGTGGGTCAAGCTCTCCCCCTTCTCCAATCAGGGAAGAGAGATCTGGAGGACTTTAGACTTGAATGGCTCCAGGAATAATATCCAGGAAAAAGAGAGGTGATACAACTCAGGGGAGCAAGGAGGAAGGTCGCTTTTGTGCTGAGTCCATAAGAGCAAACAAAACTCCCCACTGAGAAGGGCAGCCATTGACCATGTACTGCTGAGCTGAAGCAAGCTTCAAGGTAACAATCACTCTGTAGAGATCTGTAACTTCCTAAGCAAAAGGAGCCTGTCCTATATTTTAACACCTGCTAGGGTATGTATAGAGAGAGGGGCAGAGGATTTGTGTTTTACCCATTTCTTTTGAATCCCTTACTCAATCTGGCACTGTTCTTAAAGTATGATTGTGAACATTTTCTTTTTAATAAATACTTTAAACTTTGGATGCTACCAGTGGTTCTCTGTACCAATAGACCTCCACTGTCTTGGACATGCTATTTTAAAAGGAGCGAAGGCAGACAATTGGCAAGAGGCTATTCCCTCAAGGGAACACAGAGCAGTAAACTGTCCCCATGGTGACAAGGCACTGGGCAGCGGGAGACACAGAGGCAAGGCCTCAGATCTTGGAAGGGAAGCTGGGAGTCCTGACCCCCCAAGCAGGCAAGTCCTACAAAGGTCAAGTGGTGGCAGCAGTCTACCCGACAGAGGGGGGGAAAGCTTCTCCAGGTGTTGAAAAAAAACCTGGAAGGCAGGGTGGAACAGGGCCTGCAGGCCTGAGTAGGCCTGTTTGCCATACACCTATTATGGAGTTAAGTAATTTATGATGCTTTTTAAAGGCTGCATCCTGCTACTCTGACATGGTGGACTGCCATCTTTACATTGTGGTCACATGTTGCAAAGCAAACCTCTTTTCAATAAATAGGGCACAGATGACGACTTCAGTGTTCTGCAACAGATGTTGTCTGAAGATCGGCAAACAGGATTGGGTGAAGAAGAGTCATGTGACAATGGAGTAACAAATAAATGAAAGTGTGGTTCAGGGAAAGATTAAAAGGCATTTGGAGCCAAAAACAAAAGTGGCTGATTAACAGAGCAGAGAAACCAACCAGTCCTACTTAGCTACACATCCTTTTGAGCCCTTTTACTTCAATTGGCTTAGAGAAGTGTAATTGCCTAGGATAGCACTGAAAAGTATAAGAAACTACACAGCGGGGAGTTCAAGCAGGTTCACACTTAGGACAAACATCTAAATCCTTCAGAGATGGTGAGAGGCCTGCCTGTTTTTGTGACATAATGCACTGTACAGTACACCCCATGCTCATGTCATAAGATGGCAGGCACTCACCCCACTAGGAGCAGGCATTTTGGCATTTCTGAACTGCATCAACTAGTGCTTGATTCCTTAGTGTGAAATACAGAAAGCAAGAACAAACAGAGAAGCTTATTAGCATTCCCTGGAGGATTAGCTCAAGAAAACAACTTTACTCAGCAAGATTAATGTTCTATCCCACACAATCCTGCTTCTGAACTAGATGAGCTGCTGCCCTGACAGACCAGGCCAAGGATCCTTTTTGTTCAAGGCCATGTTCAGACATTGTGGGTAAGGAAAACCTCAGTTTCTTTGTGATAAGCTCAAGACTGTCTTATTTCCAGTGAGGGGCAAGAAACAGACTCTAATTTGCGGAAGCACATGGAATTGGACACCCTAGCAAATATGTGATTATAGTGAAGACTGCCTAAACTAACATGACGTCTTCAGTCTTGGCTCAAGGGGAAGCAGAGGGGAATGTGCCAGAGGATGTAGTGATGGCCACAGGCACAGACAGCTTTAAAAGAGGGTTAGATGAATTCATGGAGGATAGGTCTATCAGTAGCTACTAGCCATGGTGGCTAAAGGCAACCTCCACACTCAAAGATAGCACACCTCTGAATCCCAGTGTCTGCAGGCTGCACCAGGGGAAGGCCTTGGCCTCTATGCCCTGTTTTTGGCCCTCCAGAGGAACTGTTTGGCCACTGTGTGATGCAGGATGCTGGACTAGCTGGACCACTGGTCTGATCCAGCAGGGCTCTTCTTATGTTCTTAACACGCAAGCACTATAATCAACCAGGCTCCAGGCTTGTCGCAAACCGATTGGTGATCATTCGTGACATCTAAATACAGACTAACATGGTCTCCAACAATCATATGCCACTGGAAAACTCACCCACAGGGCACAAACGAGCTGGCCTATGAACACAGATATTTCCACTTTGCCATCACATTGAGTTTTTATCTGTAGAAACTGAGGACGAAAAGTTATGCTTATGGTTGTGTTCCTTCCAGTTTAAACTCTAAGCAAGGTTAGTTGTCCTCAAGCTGATCTGGAGGTAGGAAACCCAACAAGGAAGCACCAATCCATAAAAGATGCATCCACTTGTTTATTGACCAGCTCTGTCTGCTGTATGCACACCACACCAGTGCTTAACTACACTGTTTGCCTCCTTGCTTCAAGGTAGTGGTTGTTACCCTAACAGCCCCTCATGACCGAGTCCCCACATACTTGATGGAGGGCCTTTCCTGGTGCACGATCTTAAGCCTGCCCATGGTTCTTTGCTGTTGATTTTCCTCCCATCTGGCCCTCCTGGCACCCAGCAGGAGTCAGGCTTTCCTTGTGCAGCCCCAGCAATTTGTAATTTATTAATTAAAACATTTATCTCTCACCTTCCCCCTTGTGGCCAAAGGCAGCTTACAATTCTAAATTAAACCCATCCTTAATAAAATAAACCCCCACTGAAATTGTCTGGGGCCATACATCAGGCTTTATGTTATTTATCCTCTGGGGGAACTATTATGATTACTTTTGTTGTTTAATGATGAGGACTGTATTTCTCAGGGCAACACCATGTCTGTAGGTTATTTAGTGGAATCTGTGCGGTGCTTTATGTTGTCGCTTGCGTTGTTTTGATGCTCACACCATGAGTCCCTTAGCAAGATGCTACCTGGGTGCAAATGAGACCCCAGGCAGCATCTTCTGAAGCATCAACTTCCCCGTGTAGGATATTTGGCTCTCCTCAAGCCTGGTGGAACTCTCTGCCAAATTCCACAGGGCCTGCAAGGCAGAGATGTTCCGCCAGGCCTTTGGTTCCATCATGCTGGCACCCTTATCTGTTTCTCTGCCCCTGCTTTTTCAGCCTCCTCCCCCCACCCACCCATGGAAAAAAGCACAGTCCAAAGTGAGTTGGAGGGAAATGTATATATTAGCACCATCTGAGATTTACGTATTGATTTTTAATTGCTTTTAAAATGTTTCTAATTGTTTTTAAAATGATATACATTGCCTAGAACCCTGTTATTAGGCAGCTAAGAAATTGAATTGAATAAATAATGTACTGAAATCTGTTCGAACAACACAAGCCCTCATGTTCAAGTCCACTGATGGAAAAGGCTGAGGAAGTTTGTATCAGATGTGAAGATATTGAAGAGCTGTAGCGGAAAGACTAGTTCAGTTTTGCACTAGATTGTGCCAAGCTGCCAGGAGAACGTCTCTTCCCTGTGCTGATGTACCCAATCTCCCTGTGGTCAGATTTCTGCAGCACTCATAAGAACCACAGCGCTGCTGCGCTCACCATCTGTGACCAAGTAATCCAATGAATATATACATGGGTGTTTGTCAAAGGCTGCTTTGCACTACGCCCACCCACAATATGCCAGGGTTGTGTGCCGATATTTTCTTAAGCACTAGAAAGGCCACACTTTGCGCACACACACACACACACACACAAATTAAGCCTCCATCAGGACAGAAGAAGACATCCAAATGGCAATTCACAGTTTAGGTATAAGATTAACAGCAGACTGGTGATCAAGAGAAGTTGCCTACTGAGAAAAGTTAGGAGAGAACTTGGAGGGTTCCACAGCTAGATTCCCTCTGCTCCCACACTTATAGTAACAATTCTTGGATAGGGAAGATGACTGAAGTGCAGTTTCTCTGTTCTGGAGGTCAAAAAATCTTCAGGAGGTCCAGAATGCAGCTGCTTGATTGCTGACTGGGTCTCCCTGGTTTGTACCTTTAACACCAATACTTTGGCACCTGAACTGGCTTCCGATCAGCATCTGGTACCAATTCAAAGTGCTGCTTTAGACCTATAAAGCCCTAAATGGTCTGGGACTGCCTTACACGCATCTTACTTCTCCCAGTGTGACCCCCATTGCCTCCTTAGATCATCATCACGGGGTCTTCTACAGGTGCCTGGCCCACGAATTACCCACCTGTCTACCACTGGAGAAGACCCTGATGCTGGGAAAGTTTGAAGGTCAAAGAAGACGGGGACGGCAAAGGATGAGATGGTTAGACAGTGTCATCGATGCGAACATGAAATTGAGCCAACTTCAGAGGACGGCGGAAGACAGGAGGGCCTGGCGGGAGATGGTCCATGGGGTCGCGAAGAGTCAGACTCGACTGTGCGACTGAACAACAACAACAACTACCACCAGGGCAAGAGCATTTTCAGTAGCTGCCCCCTCTCTCTAGAACCAGCTCCCCAGGGAAGTTCATACCCTACAGGACCTTCCATCATTCCACAGGGCATGCAAGCTGTGCTCTTTCAGGTGGCGTTTGGGTAGCATTATGAACCAGGGAGCTGGCCAGTTGTTTTAATCTTTCCAGACTGGCTTGTCAAGTTTATGGTTTAGACTTTTATGCTTGTATTTGTTTATACTATATTTATATTCATTGTATTTTAAAAGTTATAAGCACCGCAGAGTCCCCTTTGGGGAGAGGGTACAGGGTATTAAATAAATAAATAAACCAAC